GGCTTTGGTTGAGGTGTCCTATCAGAAGTTCCATTAATGTGTGACTCTACGGGGCTTTGTTTAGAGAACGTGCTAGTGAGAAGGGCTGGTGTTAGTTCAGTCCTCTGTAACCCAACTGACCACACCACATGGATGCCAAGTAGCACCATCATGGAGTTCGCCTCAACTGTCATCCATCCCCTTATATAATCTGTAATATATCCATGTTGATGTCCCAGGAGTTCAAAGGGGGAGAAACCAATGCAATAGATAAATTGTTGAAAATAAAACCACACATTATTTAAAGTCTGAGTCTACTGAGAAAATAAATTACTAGTTATCAAATGTGTGCTAGATATTATCTGTTGTCTACATTCTTAATTAAGGTGAGCTAGGTTAATACTGGTGGTGGGATAATGCATCTTTCATTATCAATCAGCGTTAACACATTAAAAACCAATGTTCTATCATTAAAATATCTTAGGATCACACATAGCCTAAGTTATGCATTTCAAATCCACTGTATGGTCCTTGTTGAAGATACAGATTACAAGCATTCAAGAAGCATTCTTATTCTGATAAAATGACGTAGGAGTCATAATTTCAATAATTTTCCGGTCTGAAGTAATTGTTAAGAAACGTTGATGTACAATCAAATGCCCTTTTATGGAAGAGTTAGCTGTCCTCTACAGGTATCTGAGGTTTCTTCATTTCAGTCACATCAACTAATATTCTGTACATCTGTCTGTCGCTATTATAAAGACGTCAGTATTTTAATGGAGTGTCACCACTTTTTCTTTGTTTTGGACTTTTTAAGATTTTAATTCCAGTTAACAAGCTGTTATGTTAGTTTCAGCTGTACAATGTAGTGGTTGAAGAATTCCATACATTATCCAGTGGTTGTCGCAACGAGGGCAGTCCTGCATTTCCAAGAACCTCTTTAACACTTCTCCCCACCCACCTTCCCTCTGGTAACTACTGGTTTGTTCCTTATAGTTAAGAGTCTGTTTCTTGATTTATCTCTCTCTCTGTCTGTCTCCACTGTCACTTAAGAATTGATTAAATTTCTCATGGAGAAGTAGACTATGGTCACCCTAAATGGTCCTCTCATTGCTTTTCTGGCTTTTTATTATAATAATATTCTAACATGTTTTCTCTTTTGCTTTGTTCTCTCCTATTGTTGAGATATATGCGAGCAGTTCCTGACTTTTTTGCCCAGCCAACAGATCATACCGACTACTCAAAGCTAATTCACCACAGTGTCCCTTCTGGACTCTACAATAATGGCCTTCTATAATAGTTACACGCAGGGACAGGGACCAATTTCAATGCATGGGTAGGGACATCTCTACAACCCCTGTCACTTTGAAGAAGTTATGGAATATGAGCCCTTCACCCTTCAACAACCTGAACAATTAAAGAACCAATAATTGGTCAGGAGTGAAGTGATGAGGGAAAGAAACAGACAAATGTTCCCCTTTAACCCAGAAGGTTGACCTGCGTAGTTGTGATAACGATCAAATATGTGCTGGTTGGTACATTCTTTTTTTTTTTTTTTTTTTTTTTTTTTTTAAGATTTTATTATTGGACAGAGAACACAGCAAGAGAGGGAACACAAGCAGGGGGACTGGGAGAGGAGGAGAGGGAGAGGCAGGCTTCCTGCTGAGCAGGGAGCCCGATGCAGGGCTGGATCCCAGGTCCCTGGGATCATGACCTGAGCTGAAGGCAGACACTTAACTGACTGAATCACCTAGACATCCCAAAAAGTAGTTTTATAAGTAGAAAATTGAAGATAGATTTATGAAGATACTCCCTGCACGTCCCCTCCCCATGAGCACTAAACATATAACCACAAGCTTCACGTGGCCAAAGTGCAACTCTTTCTGCTCAGGAGTCTTTCTCCAGGCTACTTGAATAAACCATAAAACATCTCAAGAATTCTTTCCTTCTGGATGGGGTCGACAATCCCACAACAGCTTTGTTACTGCAAACTCCATTTTTGGCTGCTGGTGGCTCAAAAAGCCAATACTCAAGACACAGTTTTGACTGGGAAGGAATGTGAGCTTTATTCAGGAGGACAGCCACTTGGGAAGAAGGTGGAGTCTTGTCCAAAAACCAGCTCCACAGTTTCAGCCTGGTCCAAAGAGTTGAAAAGGAACTCGAGGCCAGTAATTAGTAAAGAGGAGTGCGGTAATCTGTAACACTTCGTGCTTGCCTCTTCGTAGCCACAGACATTACTGAGATGCTGGAGATTGTGTATTGGTGCCCCAGGAGAGGTTGTGCAAGAGGGTTCCGATCCAAGTCTTTCTAGGAAACAAGGTACAATCTCTAGATATACAAAGAGGTTTGATTTATCAATCATTTGGGCTAAAGGTGCGTGCTAAAATTTAAAGACTACTAAGTTGGGCAAAGGGGCACTGGCTTGGCTTCTGTAATTTAAAAAAAGGTCCTCTAGCTTTATTGTGTTGCTACAAATGGAAGGATTTCCTTCTTTTGTGAGGTTGATTGTATACCAAGAATAAATTAGATGGTGGAACTCTATCAGTAATATAGCTAGTATCAGACTTTAACTTTTTATATTATAAAAAGTTGCCTGCCTGGTGTGGCAAACTGTTGTTTGATAAACATTTGCTCTTTCCTTTTTTTTTGTGACTATGCTTACCCCCTTCTGAAATTTTAAATCCCTACCCCTTCTTAAGTCACAGCTGCATGAGGTGTCAATTCCCTGTCTTCGAGCCTTATGTTTTTAAGGTTCCCATAACTAATTTTTTTTTCTCTTGTGAGTCTGTCTTACACCAATTTAATTATTAGACCAGCCAAAGAATTGAGAACAGATGAGGAAAATGTTTTCCTCTCCTACACATTCAGTCTGTCGTCAAAAACAGACCTGCTCCGTGATTCAGAGCCAATATATAACTTGAAGATAGAGTTGGGGATAAAGAGGAACAGTAGCTTGATAGCTTGGCGGGACAGAGGAGGCTGCTGGAAGTCGAGGCCTTCAGAGCTACAAGCCCACCCAGGGGAGCGGGCTGGGGTTTTGTAGGAATATGCAGGATCCGGCCTGTTTCAGCAGGAGTTGTGTCTGTGTTGCCAGCCTTGTTCATGTTTTCAGAGTGGTACTGGATTCCTGAAAACAGAAAACAAAGCCTAAGAAGGGGAAAGGGAAACTTGGGGAAGAGAGGGAGGAGGATTCTTATTTTTAGCTATCCAGCCTTGCTACGGTTTAATGCAGCCATTTGGTTTTTGTTCAACTTCCTGCGCTCAAGCAGTTTCAGTTTGAGTCACCAGGGCACCTGAAGGAAGATCACTTCATGTTTTAAATTTGAAGCCACTCGTTATTTTCTAGAATTCCAAAAATAAAGAAAAAGTGTAACACCAAATTTCAGTGGAAATATTGAGGAATTGGAATTCTCCTATATTGCCGGTGGGAAAGTAAAAAGTACATTCATTTTGGAAACCTGTTTTACAGTTTCGTATGAAAACAACCATTAACCTACTGAAGGGGAGCATGTTCTCCGCGCAAAATGTATCGCTTTGTTTAAGGGTTATTTTAGGCTGATTAGGGGTGTGTGTGGGGGGGTGTTTTTTTGAGGGAGAGAGAGCAACTGAGCATGCGCACGAGGGCGCGCGGGGGGGGGGGGGTTTGCAGGGAAGGAGGGGCAGAGGCAGAGTGACAGAATCTTAAGCAGGCTCCTTGCTCAGCGGACGCTGACCTCATGACACTGAGATCACGACCTGAGGTAAATTCGAGAGTCACATGCTCAGCCTGCTGAGCCGCCCCTGCGCCCCTCCGCTTGTTATTTCAAAGAAACAGCAGACAAAGGAAAAGCCCTGCAACCCAGTATGTTTACTTTTGTAGGAGATATTTGCTCCACTTAGGGAAAGAGGAAGCTCCATTCGTAAGGGTGTCTCTCTCTGTGTAGCGGAAAGAGGGAGAATGTCTGAATCTCCAGAAACTCCGATCAGTGGAAAAAGCATCGATTTCAGTCTGGTTAGCAACCACAGCCTTGGTTACTGGGCTTTGCCTAGTCACCTCCCCAAATGCTTCCCAATAGGATCACGCGTGGAGTTTCCAGAATGATCCTTGCTGGTGCCCTCCTCCTCAGATTCTGTCAACTGATGAAAACAACAGTGTTGTGTTAATTACGGGCTCCAGGAGATTCTCAGTGAGGCCAGGGTTAAGCACGAGGGCTTTCCGTTATTTTATGAGTGGAGAGCAGGCTTTGGCTCAAGGAGAGGTAAGAGGGTCTCCGCTGCGTGAGTCTGGGAGGCTGAGGTCCGTGCCGCACGCGGTTCCTATGCTGTAGCTGAATGTGTGATAGTCTGTGGGAGGGGAGGCCCCCTGAAAGCCGAGAAGGAAAAGTCAGGGATTGGTCTCCACGTAGGAGGTCATGGTTTCTGAAAGGCTCCTGACACAAAGGACTAGGAAGTTGGGCCTTTTCTGCATTTCAAAGTCCTGCCTTCAGGCCGAGCAGTTTAGAGGTGCAGACGCTCTGTTGGTGGCTTTAAAGGCATTTTCTCCTGATGCAGCTGTGATTTCTCCACGAGTCTCTTCTGACAAAGAAATCTAGAGGACAAGGTGAACGACGAAGAAATGGCCAGTTCTCAGGTAAGCCTTGGCGTCTGAGGTCAGAGGCTATCATCTTTTTCTCCTGAAATTCCTTGCACTTAGAAATTGCAAATGTTGATTCCTCTAGTTCTGATATTTCTGCTTTCTGCTTGTGTTTTATGTTTAAAATCTTATCAAAAACGATACTCAAGGCTAAGTCTTTAGAACAATTCTTCCTTATATCCCAGAGCCTTTCTCTCCCTTCTCTCCAACCTGGCTTCCAATGGGCCATCAACAATTGTCACATTGAATTAAAGTCCTGCAAGTACTGAAAATACTCCCTTTGTGACGGACTCACAAGGGAAGTCTTTGAGTTCAGGATTCCTGTTGCTGATGGGGTCAGGTCCTGGGATATCAGTCAAGGAGAGCAGTTCTCATTTAGGTCCCATCTGGATGCTTTTTCAGCGTTCTGTAGACCAGGAGTCAGAAAATGCATAAATAAACATGATGGATATGAGGCTCAAAATCACTGGGAAAGTTCTTGCATGGGGGGGAGGGGAGAGGGACGGATTCCTGTTCTTTAGATTGTGAAAAAGATACTCTGTTTAAACTATAATAGCTATTACAGGACTTGGAAACTATGTGTGATTGAACTTTGTATAAAGGTACTGTATTCTCATATTTCAATTTATATTCTTGATTTAAGGTTTGATGACCATAAGAACATACCAGGAATAATAAATAGGTCCTTCGGTGTGCTTTAGGCACTGATATCAGTTAGTTTCCTTAGAGCTCATGTTACCTTATTTTTCTTTTTTTTAAGATTTTATTTATTTGTTTGAGAGAGAGAGTGAGAGACAGAGAGCAGGGAGCAGGGAGGAGGGGTAAAGGGAGGAGCGGACTCCCCACTGAGCAAGGAGCTGGATTCCAGGGCTTGATCCCCGGAGTCTGGAGTCACGTCCGGAGTGGAACACATGTCCTTAACTAACAGAGCCACGCAGACGCCCTCAAGCTACCTTCTTTTACTTGGGTTGGTGCTCTCTGACAGATTTCTCCCCTGTAAAGTTCGTATTTTCCCCCTTAATATTCATAAGAATCTTAGATTTACTGAGTGGTATGCAGAAACCCATTTAATGTGGAAACTTCTTCCTTCTGAGTTTCTCTTGCTTCTAGTTTCTGTTGAGAACCGAGGTAGAAGAAATGTAGGTAAACTGAAATTCAACTTGCAGACCGTTGATAAATACTTGAGACCGGCAAGAGTATGACATTGCATCAGGAATTCCCAACTGCCTTAATGTTAATGCTCTGCTAGAGGGTAAAAGCTACCAGCTTGATAATAGCCAGACCTCCAGGATCCTGTAAGTCCTCTTTAACATATGAAAATCCCTGCAGAAACTTCCTTTATTCCTACCCCCAACTTAAAGCTGTTTTATCAATGGCTTCTCACAAGGACCATGTAGATGTTTCTGCCCAGGGGTCCTGTCCCTGTGCTTTAATAAAAGCAGGTTTTTTGCACCAAAAATGCACCCAAAATGTCTCAAGAATACTTTTTTGACCCTTAGCTCGAAGGCTCCTTCAGGTCCGTTTCCACTGGACAAAGAAGACTCTCACCCTCGTGTAGCAGAGATAATGATTTCTGGGACGGGAGGTTCTAAGTCAGACCTCCATTTTGTAGTTTTTTTTTACTCCACACAGAGTTCACAGAGTGACCCTTCTATTTACTTCTTTGTATTTTCAGGGGAAAAAAAAAAAGAATCAATTAACATGTTTGAGTGTCTTAAAATCCTGAAATAGAATAGAGTCACAGATAGAAATTTTATCAGGTAGGCTTATGACACAAAGGAAACTTGATTTGCAGCCAATAAGGAGGTCACAGGGAATAACTTCCAAAGCAGAGACTCCTGGAGCCGGGGTAGGGGGCAGTTTCCTTATATTAGGGTTCAGATGGAAATTCAGAAAGATGGGCTTCATCATCTTGTATAGATCTGGGCATAAGGTCAGACAGGTACCTGAAGACACTGCCATACATACTTTGTATGTTGTGTAAGTGAGTTTGTGCTTCTCCTAGGATTGAGATTTTCATATTATAATGAGGTAAAAGTACCATGGCTTACTCTTTGGTCTGGCTACACAGGTGTGAGTCAGGGATTAGGCTCAGACTGGGCTGGCCGAATCTCATCATTTGAGCGGTCATTACCTTTAGTTGGATGGCTTCTGTTCCTGGACAGGAGACTAGACCATGGGGTCTTTGCCTGGAGTAAAAGATAAGGTAGAAAAAGAGGTTAAGTAAAATGTGGGACAAAGATCAGAGAGTGCAAACAGGTAACTGGGGAGGGTCAGGTCTTGGGTCTAGCTGGTGACATTAACTCCCACTTTAATCTTAGGAAGCATCGTAACTCTGTCAATGGCCACTTGGTGACTGTGGTATTTATTTCAGGGACTGCTGACATTCAGGGATGTGGCCATAGAATTCTCTCAGGAGGAGTGGGGATTCCTGAACCACACTCAGCGGGAACTGTACAGGGATGTGATGTTAGAGAACTACGGACACCTCCTCTTCTTGGGTGAGGAAGACTCCTTCCAGATTTCCAAACCCCACTCTGGGTTTTCTTCCTTCCTGTGAAGACTGTCTCTTGGAAAATTCCTCTTTGAATGACTGGAATTCAGATCAAGGCAGAGAGGGGAATAAATAGGGGTTTGTAGATGGAGAGAAAAATCATCATGTTGTTTCCTGTAACTTTAGCTTCTTCTTCTTTAAGGTAATATCACTTTTGTAGATGAGTGTCAATTGTAAATAGTGAGTGTCAAAAAATGGTACTGCCCACATCTTAAACTGAAATTTTAACTTCTTATTATTGTATTGTTAGTATTTGAAAGTGGAAGTCATGATGTGAAAATTTCAAATTTCTCCTGCATGTTTAATGGCCTTTTGGTCAACCGTGTTTGGGAAATCACTTTCTAGAATTCTGCAGTGTCCTCTAGTGGATTGAAAATTAAAATCTCCAACAATACTCCTATTCATTTTTTCTAATAAACAGGTCTTATTGTGTGGAAGCCAGACCTGGTCATCTTTTTGGAGCAAGAGAAGCAACTCTGGGATGTGAGGAGAAAGGAAACAGTAGCCTTCCATCCAGGTAGGTGGGAATGAATGAGGCAGATGCATGCAGAGGGGAGGTCCAGGTCTGAAGGAGGAAGACAGACCTTAAATTCTGATTCGAGTAGCTCTCCTTGAATGGAGATTAGTTTTAGAAGCACAGTTGAACTTCTCTTCCCTGTCACAGAAGAACATCTGCTCTCCAACATTATCAAGCTCTTAAATTCTCTAAGGATTCTCCTTCAGCTCCAGTGATGGTCCATCACATCCATTGATGGAGACCAGGAGACTTCTCGGGAGAGGGAGGGTCTCCATAATCTAAGAGCTTCTCCATTGTTTTGAGGGCCTTGGGGAAATCTCCCTATTTCATAGGATCTCTTTTCTAAACCTTTTGTAAGTTCTGTTTTTCATCATGGGAGAAGTATGTCAGGGTGGTGGTATGCGCATTGGGTTTGGTACAGAAACCCTGGAAACACTGGAGACAGATATCACATGTTTTCTGGTTTATGCTTTCCAATGTCATGGTGGCTTTAATCTTAATCATATAAAATTGAGAATCAGCAATTTCATCAGATAACAAAACACCTCCCTAAAATGAGAAAAACTAATCCTTTATTTCACTTAAAAGTTCACTTTTCTTTGTATTAAATAATACTAGAAATTTCTACTCTATGTGTTCCATTCCTCAATGGTGAAATAATTAAATGTATCTATTTGTTTCCTGGATTTCCTACCTAAAGAGTGCCATAGGGTAGCGGGAACATTTAGAATTCAGAATTCGTAGCCTGTAATAAAGTCTTAGTTGTTACTTTATTTATAATAATTGACTAACTTTATAATTTTATATGGTATGAAGTTCCTGTCACTTTGCCATGTGTGTTCTCACTTTCTTATTACTTACACATGACATTCATCTTTTTTTTAATATCAGAAGTTGTGATATGACATGAACATTTGCTTATAAAAAGTAAAGTGGATAATCAGTAAAATTCTCATATTTAAAAAAATTTTGCTTATAAATTTAATTTACATGGAAAAATTAACCATTAGGCTTTTCTTCTACTTTCCTCAGAATATATCTGAATTTAATTGCAAATATTTATTTTTTACAAAGTGATAGCTTGCTGGCATATTTTACAGTTGTGATAGTATTTCTTTATTTCAAAATGAAGGGGGTTTTTTGGGATGCTTTATTCTTATTTTTTTCTTTTTTTTTAAAATATATATTTATTTATGAGACAGAGAATGCACGAGCTCAAGTGGGGTGAGGGGCAGAGAGAGAGAGGGAGAGGTAGAAAGAAAGGGAGAGAATGCTAAGCAGACTCTTTGCTGAGGGTCAGCACCCTCAAGGGGCTCCATTCCACAACCCTGAGATCATGACCTGAGCCAAAATCCAGAGTCAGGTGCTAAACCAACTGAACCGTGCAGGTGCCCCAGGGTGCTTGATTCTAAAGAATGGATTATAGCCTTACATTCTGTGTACAGGAGGGATATGTTAATAAGAATACAGTTTCCAATGCCTTTTAAGTGCTTATTCATAAAATTTTCCGTTAGACCTTTTCATGGTAGACTTTAATACACATTCTTTACTATTTTACTGTCAATGAAGACATGCCAATAATTCAAAATGCTTGGTTTTCATGGGTACACAGTCACAGTTTAAAGTTACATAAAAGGTTTCCTTTTAAAAATGCATTCATTTTTTTCTATAGATTTTATCTGTCAGGGAGAAAATACGGAGAAGTGGGGGGTGGGGCAGGGAAAGAGCGAGACAGGCATACTTCCCACTGAGCAAGGATCCCACACTGGGTTCCATCCCAGGACCCTGAGATCATGAGCTGAGCTCAAGTTAAATGCTTAACAGCCCGACCCACCCAGGCACCCCAGAATTCATCTATTTGTATGTGGAATTCTTTGAGTTACGTTTTGGCTTATTCTGGTTTTACAATTCTGTAATAACGGGCTTCCTTTTTTATGGGACCTTTCACAACATTGTTTAGTTACCTGTGTATTTAGTAGGAAGACAGTTTTCAACTCAGTAGATTTCAGGACAGTGTGAACTCCAGTATGAATGAGCTCCTCAGTCTCTCCAGTGTTTGAACAAGTGCTCAGCATTCGTCTGAGCCGCCAGGTAATGCATCCATAGGGAGCTGTCCTTCCTTCGGCCCCTGTGGCCTACATGACAGAAACAAGTCCCTCAGGCAGCAGCCACACAGCCACATCATGGAGCATACTGGGCACTCATTTGTTCTCTCCTGAGGAGAGGTGAGAATTCTCTCACGGTGTTGCCGTGGAGAGTCAGGGAGGGCGAGCCCCGGTTGTGGGCAAGTGTTGCAAACTCTCCTTGTCTCTTCGTTGTGCCTCTTCTTCCTTCCTACTTGCCTGGGGGAGCTGTGTTCTCCTAACTGGCTTCTGGAACATTCTAAAGGGTAATTCGGTCCATTTTTGTGTCCATGGAGGAGCACAGTCCTGTGCTTCCTATTTCTCTATTTTGCTCATGTGCGATGATAAGCATTAAGATTGCACATTAGCATGTTAACGTATATGCATGCGAGTATGGTGAGTGTGATAACTTACTGTGTATCTTTTAGTTGTGTCTTTCCCTAACACCCAAAGGCCTGTTGGCAAAGACGGGGAAAGAAGATTCACTTTTTTTTTTTTTTTTTTAATAATTTTTTTTTTTTTTAATTTATTTATTTGACAGACAGAGATCACAAGCAGGCAGAGAGGCAGGCAGAGAGAGAGGAGGAAGCAGGTTCCTTGCCGAGCAGAGAGCCCGATGCGGGGCTCGATCCCAGGACCCTGAGATCATGACCTGAGCCGAAGGCAGAGGCTTTAACCCACTGAGCCACCCAGGCGCCCCGAAGATTCACTTTTTAAAGTGACATGGGAAGACGTGGAAGCAGCGGTCCTGAGTATTTATATTTAACGAGTAACTCGTCAGGTGGCCGAGGGTAGTAAAGGGCAGGAAGGAAGGACGTTATGATGGGTATAACCCAAGTGGGACAGTTAGCATAAAGAAATCCTTCCCACCAGAAGAGATGAGGTATAGAGCACATTCAAGGAAAAGCCCCACCGTTAAGACATTTATATTTGCAGAACAATATCTTTGAACCTGGTGATAATAATCCATTTTTCAACATACATATTCTCTGGAAGGACATTTGGATATTTTGGGAGGTCACCTAGTCCATGCGGAAAGTGTCATTCAAACCATTTCAAGTTTAAGAGTGGTTTAATCATTCACTGATGCATTTCTGAATGTTAGACATTTAAAAATGAAGGTAAAAATTCTAAATGTGATTGGTTTAAGAAGTCCTTTTCGGGAAGTTCCTTATTCTCCCACCAACACATAATCCCTCCTTGTGGCACACTCTCTAAATCTGATAAACACAGGAGGGTCTTTATCCAAACATCACTGTGGAATACTTACCACGTAATACTTAATTGGAGTAAGTTTTCATGTGTTGTGAACTTAAGAAGGCCTTTAATGAGAACTCTATTTTCCATAATTACCAAGTTGTTTATAAAGGAGGCAAAATGTACCCATGTAATGAGTCTGGGGAAAATGTCAATCAAGGGTCAAATCCTAATAAACCTCAGAGAATTTAGTTTCTAGAGAACTAGTATTAGAGTAATAAATGCGGAGCTTTATGAAAGCTCCAGTCTTCTTGTATATCATTGTATCCTTACTGAAATGAAGACTGAAGAAGGTGTAAGTGTGACAAACCTTTTAACTAGTCTTCAAGACTCACTCAACAGCAGACATTTCATAATGGGAAGAAATAGTACAAATATAAACAATGTGGTAAAGACCTTAACTGCCACTCAAAACTTACCAATATAATGTAAAATACAGTGGGGAGTGGCAAAGTCTTTAAGCAGAGCTACGATTTTGCTGAATATCAAGGAGTGCATAATGTAAGGAATGCAGTAAAGCATTTCATTCATAATCATAATTCAACATAAGATAATGCATCCTGGGGCAATAACTTAAAATTGTCAAGAATGGTGGTCCGGTCTTTACCTGGAACCCTTACTCAATATAAGGTAAAACACACTAGATGGAAACTTTAGTGTAATGACTGATGAATGACCTTTGTTTTTCATATACAGTTCAGAAAGAGTCTTTATAAAGGATAAAAATATTAAAGATGTAAACAATTAGCTACGTATGTACAATAGAAAGGCAAATCTAAATAAAGTCAGAATTAACAACAGAAATCAATAAGTGCCATTTCAGACATGACTCTAAATCAGAGTATTTATTACAGAGGAAAATCCAAATTTAAATGACCTAGATCAGACATGAGGGACACCAACCTCCTCCAGAACTGAAAATCTGTATGTAATTTTTTTTTTTTTTTGAGATTTTATTTATTTATTTGACAGAAACACTTCGAGAGAGGGAACAGAAGCAGGGGGAGTGGGAGAGGGAGAAGCAGGCTTCCCGCTGAGCAGGGAGCCCAATACAGGGCTCCATCCCAGGACCCTGGGACCATGACCTTAGCCGAAGGCAGATGCTTAACGACTGAGCCACCCAGACACCCCTCTGTGTGTAATTTTTGAATCCCAAAAACTTAAAACCATTCCTTCCTTACCGTGGAAATACCCTATTATTGAAACCTTACCTAGAGCATTAATAGTTAATCATCCCCTTCTTTTTATGTGGTCTGAGTTCTATATTTTTATAGTAAAGTAAGGTACAGAGAAAATATTAAGGATTGTGGTAGTGAAGAGAAAACACATTTACAGTACTACACTATATTTATACAAAAGAAAAAAATCTTTGTATAAGTAGACTCACACTGTTTAAACCTGTATTATTCAGTGTTCAACTGTATTTGTTAATATCCCTGAAAGGATCAAGATGGCATGGCTATTTGGAGAGGGATAATTAGTTTTACTATGTCTCTTTTTTTCTTTTGGCTATATTTGAGCTATTTCCAATAGCAGATACTAATTTTACTCTGAAATTTGTAAATACATAAAATCTTTTAAGGAAACAAACAAGTTTATTAGGTGAAAACTTGGAGACTT